ACTCATCGAGGTCTATCTACCCTGAAAGTTTCAGAAAATTTCGTTGAGCCGTTCTCAAAAAGTGGCGGAAAGGGGAGGGGTCCCCTTAATACAATCGGAAAAAGGCTTAAATTATATAAGACAAACGTTAAATGATCAATGAAATACACATGGTTTATATGCAGGTGATAGTTATGGTATTGGAGGAAAACCGTGGGTTACATCACATTATAGTTTTCATATGCTCTTATGGTATTTACCATTTGCAAGTACAGGTCAATATACAGATTTAACAAAAGGTATATTATTGTTTTCACCTAAATTACGATGATTATTTATTTTGTCTGTAATTATTCCCAATACTTTTCGATCAATAAGTGCAACTCCATTATTAAATGGGCAATTATCGTATATATTTACATTAGTAACTGGAAATTTATCTTTGAATATACTTGCTATTAATAATGTGAAATATCCAGGAAGTATTCATCTAACAGCTGGACAATCGGTACAGTGGATTGGATGATTGATCAATGACAATCAATATTTATTATAACTATAATTAAATAAAAAACTTTTTTGCACTTTCCATTCTTGAACGATTTTCTAACGATATACTATGTAATATGTTTGTTTCTTTAATTTTGACAATAAAAATATATGAATAATATTGAAAAAAATTCAATCTGAACAGATTTAATTAGTAAGAATTTACCTTTTATTTTGAGGAGAAAGATACACGAACATTCAGTCAAATCTTGAATGTTTAGTTAAATATTTTCGATAAAAGAGAAATATATTTCTAATAAAATAGAAAACTTGACTCTTTTCCATGCTTTATCAAAATATTGAATAGATAAAAAAATATTCATTTTTTTTTATTAAATTTCTTTTAGATCAATCTCGATTAAGATAGCAATCAGAACAGATTCAATTACATTTTGATTATAAAAATATTAATACTAACTGTTCCTCTAATTCTGCTTATGCAGCTTCAAAAACGCAAATTTTGTCCTCTTAGTTTCAAAAAAAAAAAAGAATATTTTTTTTTGTTCTTTAAAATTCAATTCATTACTAGAACTTTTTCTGGTTATTACTATAACAACAAAAAGTATGCAACTGTTCAATAATCATCTTGTATGAAGAACTATAATTCAAATTAGTGCATTCAATAGTAAGGTTTTGTTATGTTATGCAACAAAATTCCAGTACTAAAAAGATATTAAAATAAAACTCTTACAACACTTGTGTATTTCTTTGACAAATGAGTTCACACATGCTAAATTTGACTTCATAAAAAAATGCGAAGTTGTCATCAAAAAAAAAAAAACTTTAATTAAAAAAGAAAGTATTTAATTTTTTATAATTGTTAAATTAAAAAAAAGCACACACTATGAAATAATATACTTGAAATTTATCTTTACATATAAAATAACAATAATAGGTTTTCTATCACGCAGTACAAAATGTATATAAAAATAGAATAAAACTGCAGCAAATAATAATGCTAGAATTGATCTAAGATGGCTAAGGCGATTTATAGAAAATAGCAAAAATCTCGACTAATTGAAATGATGAATAAAAAATTATTAAATATTATTGCAATTTGGTGATAGGAAAATAGAAATTACTGTCTAAAAGAATTTGCAAAAAAAAGCTTTTCAATGTCTTCAATAAAAGATAAAAAAATAATTAAATAGATCTTATTCCCAAACAAACAAACAAACAAAAAAGTAATCATTCTATTCCCCCTTGTCAAAAAAAAAATTCTTGTGGTTTTCTTCTTGTTCATCTATTTTGCGCTGTCATTCGTGTTCATTAAACATTTATTATTTTATTATTTGATTTGTACTAATCTCTGCTATCCACTATCTCCTGTTTTTTTTTGTTGTCGGTTTTTTCCTTTGTTCGATCTTTGTTTGTTCGCATGTTGTTCGAAAAAACATTGAAAATTTTTATGAAGAACGCTGTTTCATGAAATAAAAACTTGTCTAGATATTTTTTGATATTTATTTGGTCATCGTTCATCATAGTTAGATCTGTTCAAACAATTGATAAAGTTTAATCGTTATGTGTCGATCAATTGAAAATCAAATAGACAAAAATAGTCTTTATCAACAATTTGTTCAATTATTTTCTCATTTATTAGATAGTTCATCAAATAAATCTCTCCAAAAAATATTCTTTAAGAAGAATTTAATTTTTCATTAAATAGTCGTATATCCCAAACATATGTACAACCTGTTTTTATTGATTATGATCAAATAATAAGTGTTGCACAATATTCGTTATTATATATATTTGTCAATAATTTATCATCATCATTTTGAGATCCACTAGTTTTATTATCCATATGAAATACACATATTTACTTGTATGTAAAGGTGATTTAATTAATAATGGACATGTTCAAAATTTCTCACATTCAATTTATTTATGATATCATTTAAGATATTCCTTAGATGATAGAATATGGATTTTAAAAGATATTTCTATGCTTAAAAATTTCATAATACTTGCACATTATATAAATCATTTTCCATCGAATGGTTTATTATATGTAATATATTATGAATTTGATTTTCACCTCAATCAAGTCAATATGATCTCTATTGTCTTTTACCGACGAAGAAGAAGGTCCTAGTTTTCTATCTTTTCTAGTCAATAATTATTTGGTATATGTGAACTACTTCTCAATTGATATTATCTTAAATATATTTAACATATAAAATACGATTTTGTTCTCATTTGTATTAAAATGTCATAAATAAAAAATCATTATGTTTATCTTCATCTTTCCTATGAAATAAATGTAATGTTTTTACTATAGTAAGAGCTGATGTCAATCATATGAAAAATGATTTTAGAACTTTTCAACTAAAATGAACCATCTTTTGTCAAAGTTAAATAGACCATGTTTTGAACACAAGATAACCGAAGGAATACATTCGGCAATATCTTTTTTTAGTCTTGCGTATATTCTTTACCCATAAATATTATTTATTCTGACTATAACAAGAATAAATATTAATTGACAAGAAAAATCAAGCATTTTTGATAGAGAAAATTAGAAAGAAAATCATCGAAGATGTCATTCTTTTCTGTTCTGTGAACACTTTTGATTGACAGATACAAAGAATTGATCTGAAAAAACACTATCATAGATAAGCTATATCTTGATGAAACATCTAAAGTTCAAATACTTAAGTAATTATGAAGATCTATTGTATACAAGTTCATTTCTCAATTTTACAATTAATTTTCGATGAAACTATATATTGTTTGATTTCTCTTTGAAATTCTTATCTTTATTCTTTCCCTTGTCTATTTCAATAATTTCATTCAATATAAATGGATTTATTTATTTTTCATCTATTTTATTTACATAATACAAAATCAGCAATACAACGTATACATATATGAGGAAAATACTTTTTGATACGTTCATCGATTTGATCCACTGGATAAAAATATAGAGCAGCAAGTTTTGCGAAATTATTTGGTCTTTCATATCTTGTAAAATTGTATGTCACTTTTTCTAGTAATTGATAATCGACACAAAGATGAAGATTATTTGGCAAAGACATTTTCCTATCAAATAAAAATAATTCGATATAATCATTATGAGTATAAAAAAGATCAAGTCGAGTAAGATTAGGATATTCAATAATTGATAACATTTGATTATCGTTATTTGATTTTATAAGTTGTTTATTATTTTGTGCTTTTCGATTCTTTATTGTTAATTCTTTCATAAATGGAAATGATTTTGAAATTCGAAGAAAAAATTCATATTCAAATGGACGTTCATCATATAATGATACTTCAGTAATACTAGTAAATAATCCACCTCGAAAATTATTTGTTATGTTATTGTAAACTTCCCATATATATGGATATGAATAAATATGACATTGACTATATCCTTCTTCTTGAAAATGATCAATACAAGTTATTATTTCATTATTATTAGGAAAATATTCAAATGTTTTCTCAATATGTTCAGTTAATGAGAAATTCGTTTCATCACAATGATTAATGATTGAGCAAATATTAAATGTAAATTTATATAATCGTGGCATATAAATAATAATATCTTTCATCAGTGTATCACTATCAATAAATTTTCCATTACATTTGACTATAATATTTAAATGAAGTTCTTCTAAATTTAACATTCGACGTAGAAGTAACACAATTGATTTATCAAAATGATATACCTTACGCTTGAAGCATAAAGAAAAAATTCGTAAGTTTGGTAATAGCTTTGGCTGAAAATGAAAACAAATATGAGTTCATTTAAACAAACAAAATATTAATAAAAATAACATACATCATGTTGAATTTCTAACCAAGGCAAAATCCTATCAACAGTAACATAAAGTACACGAAGTTGATCAAAACGTCCATCAAGTAGATCAAGACAGTCCGGCATCTCTAGCACACTGATATGTAACTCTAATAAAGTTGAAGAGATAGCAGTTTCACGTATCAAACAAAACACTACAGCATCATCATCAGATGCAGATGGATTGAATTTTAAGCATTGTAAATTAGTAAATATGGTCAAAATTTTTTCAAATATAGTTGAATAGATAGTTCTCATTGGAAACGAGTCCTTTACATTATTAAAATTGATAAAGAGTGATGAAATTTGATTCTTGAATATATGAGTTAAAGGATTTTTATCTAAATAAAAAGTTTTAAAGTTAATGATAAAAATATTTTTCAAATTTGTTTCTGTTCATTCGATTAAAATATCTAAGATTCTCTATTTAACAATATTATCATCTATGTATGTGATGTTGTCTTTTTTTTTAAAATTCTTTCATAGATTAGATACTATATGATCAATGTTGTGTTCATATCTCATTTATTGACTTGTTTATATTATTGATTTTCTTCTAGACTCTCTATATTAACTCTATTAATCTTGAAAAATTTGAATCAAATATATTATCAATATATTTGATTGTTCTTATACAAATTAACAATTAAATTCTTTTTTCGTAACGACATTCCTATAAAGAGTATGTTCTATGTAGTAAATAAAAGTGAAATTAAAAAAATTGATTTTCTATTATTAGATGATGTTTAATTATGAATATCTAATTCTATTTATTATATGTTCAAAATAAATCATTTTGTTTTCTAATAACTAATTAATTCTAGAATAAAATCAATCAAAGAAAATCTCTTACCATCAAATAGAGACATAGGTGTTTCGGAGTCGATATGAAATAAACTAAGGTTATTTAAATTAGGATAATTTGTAGCATGAAGAATACGTTTCATTGATGTTTGTTCAAGATAAAGAGTTTTAATTCGGTGCCCAATTTCAGGTAAAATTTTTGAACAAAATTGATCAAGTATTGGATCTGATAATGGAGAGCTAGTTTTGTTGTCTGGTAAATATTCTAGCAAACATAAATCACGAGTAAAAATTGTATCATGTACAATTCTATTGAGTCGTTGATTAACACCCATTAAAGAATAAAGTACTTGAACATTGTACAATTTTTTAAATATATACATAAGAATTTCATCAGGTAAATCATCAAACTCAACCAATAAATCTTTCATATTCGTTTGTGTACATATATCTACTTTTCTAAGACTATATATATACAGTAGAGTGCAAAAATAATTGCCGTTAGTATTTGATAAAGTTACTCTACTGAACATGATGAATATTGAAAGTTCTTTTATAAATAGATTATACATACACAAAAGTACACAAATAC